CCCACCGCGCATGCTCCTCCTCCCCGTGACGTCACAGCGAGCGCCGCGCGCGGGCGCAGCCGCAGCCGCTCAGAATTGGCGCTGCGATCCCGGCGGGGCCATGGGGGCAGCGGCTGCCGAGGCCAACCGGACACTGTTCGTGGGGAACCTGGACCCCAAGGTCACCGAGGAGCTCATCTTCGAGCTCTTCCACCAGGTACGGCCCGGGGCCGCGGTGTGCACGGGGAGAGCGGCGGGCGGGGGCCGCGCTGCCATGGCCGGCGGGCTACGGCGGCTGCCGAGGGACAGCCTTCGGCGGGGCGCGCGTGGGGCGGTGGGCGCTCCCCACTCCCGGTGTTTTTGATGCTCTCGCCCCCGATGCCAGGCGGGCCCCGTGATCACCGTGAAGATCCCCAAGGACCGCGACGGACGCCCCAAGCAGTTTGCTTTCGTCAGCTTCAAGCACGAGGAGTCGGTGCCGTACGGGCTGCGGCTGCTCAACGGGATCAAGCTGTACGGGCGGCCCATGCGCATCCAGTTCCGATCAGGTACCGGAGGAACCTTCAAAAACCCGTTTGTAGAGGGAAAGTGAACTGCTGTGGACTGTCCCCAGCCTGCAGCAGAATGGCAGTTAATGGGGTGAATTGCAGGAGCTTCACACCAAGAGGTTCCTCCTCTGCCAGCTCTGCTCCTCTCCTGTCCCGGTGCTTCCTGCAGGGATCTTCTGTCCCTCCTGGCCACTCTCACCCCCAGGCTGAGCCTCTGAGATCTATTCTAAATTACCACACGAGCCCTAAAAGTCTCATCTGATGGTGGTTAAATGAGGCACGTTGGCTACAAAATCACTGCCCTTTCCTGGTGGGAATTSAGACAATTGCAGTGCCTTGTTTTGTTAACTGGACCGTGTGCTTTTGCAGATCACTGATGAAACCTGAGAGCCAGTTAAAAATGTGTTAATGTCCTGCGAGTTCAGTTCACACCCGAGTTCTCTAACTGTTGTTTGTGCTCTCCTGCAATGTTTGTCTCTCTGCAGGGAGCAGCCACGCAGCCCAGGATGTCAATCCATCCTGCTTCCCGCTTGGAGTCACYGGCATCAACCCCCCTGGGATGCCTCATCCAGCATCCAACTGCAGCAGGTACGAGTCACCAGCACAGGAGTGTGGAATGGAGACAGCCATTGCACAATTCCTGGCCATTTCCAAGTGCAGTTTGGTGTTTGTTCCCTGCKRGGGAGCAGCAGAGCGATGCAATGCYCCTTGCACTGCAGCAGTTTGTGTTTAGGGCTGAAGCTCCTGATCTGTTTTCCCTGCAGATACGAGAGGGTTCCTGATGGCATGGCYGGACCAGGGTTCCCACTGAGCCTGCAGAGACAAGCAGTGGTATGTGCACACCCTC